ACTCCCAAGCAGAGGTTTTAGAAGCATCCCTCCCCTACCAGCTTTGAATCAGGCAATAGATTAAAACTCCTTATGCCAGCACAGCAAGTACTTTATTGACTGAGTCATCTTCCCTGCCCTCACATTTTCCTATGCAGCAGAATGTCTAGGAATAAATTCAAGTTAATAAGAGACCTAAGAGTTCATAGATACAGTCTCTGACCATCAGAGCTCATGTAACATTGCAGCAGGACTCTCCAAGGTAGGACCAAGGCACATTGACCTGAAGCATGCCTGATGAAAGAGCAGCCCTGTGCTATTTCTCGGGTATGACTACACAGTCAAGCACACTGAAAAATGTGAAATTTCAAAGCCTAGACCCTGATCCCCAGAAAACAGCATTCAAACTATTTGGAGCAGATTTTTGAACACCAATATTTTAACCTCTGATGGTTCCAAGTGGCACCCAAGGGAGGGGACAACTGGTAGACCTAGACTGGCAATTGCTTACAGCACAGCACTCACCTCATCTTCCATGTCCATCACACTGTTTATCAATTAGCCTCTTGTTGACACCAACTGCAATGTAGCCCTGGAGTCTTGATCATCATAGAACTCCAGCAATGAGGCCAAGTGGACACATGAACTGGAGTGTATGTCATCCCTGATGAGTCATGGTGAAAAGCATGCCTTCCCAAATCTGAACTGTCAAGAGTGTGGGAAGGCGGGATGCCCATGCCCCACCTTCAAGCTGAGCATCAGCATCCACTGTTACAGGACTTTTTGAAGAACACAGAGGGAAAACATGGAGAGGAATTTACCTCTAGACCAGGTCACAGGACAACCTATGTGAAGGAGTGCCCCTTTGCTTGGGTCTCCATAAGAAACTGAAGAGTAGACCTTCTGGGGGAAATGCCTCTTCATATCCTACGGCTGACAGTGCTAGGAAGGAGGCCCCCCATTGAGAACCAGGTATAAACTCTGGGTCCAACATTTATTTGTCATATGACCTTGGATAAGCCACTGAAGGTCTCTGTGCCTCAGTGTCCTCATCTGTAAAATGAGAAAATTGTGAATGTAAGGTTGATTGGGAAAGCCAAATGACATTCCTGAAAGCACATGGCCCATCCATGGACCATCCAAGGGCTGCTTCATCCACTGCTCCCATAGCCTCTCTTGGAGCAAGTGCAGAGGGATGGTATGCCAACTAGGATGGTCTGCTTATGAGTAAATTGATCCAAGGAGCTAAGAGCTGAATATTTTGAACTTCACCTCTTCCCATGAAAGACAGTTAAGACCCTGAGAGCAGAAAGATGGCTCTGAGGGTAAAATACTTGCTCCGTAGGAATAAGGACCTAAGTTAGATTCTCAGCACCCACATAAAATCAATGAGTATCTGCAACAGGAGATCCTGGGGGCTCACTAGTTAACCAGTCCAGTCTAATCAGCTCCTTATTTTCAGTGAGAAACCCTCTCCCATGTAAATTAGGAGAAACAATTGAAGAAGGCATCCCAGCAATGTCAGCCTCTGAGTGGCCCCCCAAGCACAGAGACAATTACCCCTGAACACACATGTACATAAACACACCACACATACACACACACACACACACACACACACACACACACACACACACACACACACAGGAGTAAAGACCCCCTTGGCCAGGCTTCCTAGGTTCAACTCTCCTACTCTCCTATTTATACCCTATGTGAGAGCAAACAGGATGCTTCGCCTACTAGTGCCTTCACATTTGCATCTGTAAAATGGCCTAATAAAGGACCAGCTCTCAGGAATGTGAAAGTCACAAAGTTCATGCAATCATCAGCCCCTGCTGTAGGCACAACAGCTGCAATTTCTGCTGACACTAACACATGCCCTTTCATCCATGGTCTCCAAGAGACACTGATCTTTCTCTTATCTATCCTGGGAGAGCACAGTCCACTTCTAGACTATGGCCCCTGCTATTCCTTCTGCCCAGACAGCTCTTCCTCTTTGGTGACATCTCCCCTGATAACCCTAAATGTAGCCACAGCTTTTTTCTTTTTCTTGTGTGTCACAGCTATTACTACTGCCTGATGAATCTCTTGGGTGGAATGGTCCAAAGCAATGCAATATGAACTTACCTGAGCCCACTAATACCAGGTTCCAAGACAGCAGAGATTCTGACAGATGATGACTGTATTCCCATCATGTAAGACAGTTCTGAGCAAGTGTAACATGAAAATACTACACAGGAGGAATGATATCTTGGAGGGGGGGCTTCATGGTCCTTACAAGATGGCTTTGCCATAACACAGACCTCTTTTTTTGTTTTATTTTATTAGTTCAAATTAGTAACAAGCTTGCTTCACATGTCAATCCCTTCTCTCTCTCCCTCTCCTCCCCCCAACATCCCACCTGCCCCTAGCCATCCCCCTTCTACTCCCAGGCAGGGTAAGGCCCTCAAAAGAGGCTCCCCAAAGTCTACCACATCATCCTGGGCCAGGCCTAGGCCCTTCCCCATAATACAGACCTCTTTTAACTAAGCCATTCGTCGTCCATGTTGGCTTACCACAGTCTGTTCTTTAAGCTGGAATAGCTGTCTTTTAGCTTCTAAATTTCTAAGTTTCTCAAACTATGCTCCTGGAATGGAGGAGTGCAGAGAAAGAGAGAGAAAAGCTAGGAATCCAAGCCAACAAAGATTCTCAGGGACAGAGATGCTGGGAAATGATGTTCATACATTTGGGATTCAGAATACTCAAAAAAAAAAAAAAGCTCTCTAGAGCCCTATAGAAGAAATGAACATCAAACCCCAATTTGCTGTGCTTCTCAGACTCTGCCTGTGATCATCCACATCATGAAACACAATTCGAAAGTTAGTGATCCAGCCAAACATTTGGCAGAGCTCAGGGGAACCTTCTGGAGAATGGAGGAAGGATTATAGGAGCCAGGGAGGTCCAGGACACCAAGAGAGCATGGCCCACTGAATCAACTAAGCAGGGCTCATTGGGGCTGGTGGAGACTGAAGCAACAATCACAGAGCCTGCATTGGTCTGCACTAAGTCTTCCACATATATGTTATGACTGTGTAGCTTAGTGTTCTTGTAGGACTCCTAACAGCGAGAGTTGGGGCTGTCTCTGACTCTTTCACCTGCTCTTGGTACCCTTTTCCTCATACTGGGTTGCCTCCTCCAGCCTTGATAAAAAGGTCTGTGCCTTCGTCTTATTGTAACTTGTTGTGCCAAGTTAGTTGATATCCCTGGAGAGACCTGTTCTTTTCTGAAGGGAAATGGAGAAAGAGTGAGTCTGAGGGAGAAGGGAGGGCGTTGGGAGAAGTAGAGGGAGAGGAAACTGGTTGGGATGTAATGTATAAGAGAAGAAAAAAACAAAAAACAAAAAGTTAGTGCTCAAGTCCTTCCATTTACAAAAGCGTCCAGAAAGTGAGTCCCCGAGAGGCTCATAGGCCCACTAGGGATCATGCAGCCACCTTCAGAATACTGGCACAGTGCACCTTTTCTAGCCCCTGCCTGTTCCCCAATGATCTGCTTAGCTGTAGGTTTGCAAGAAGTCAAAACCTGAACACAGCCCCAATATCAGTTTGACAAAAATCATAAGACTCAATACACTGAGTAAGGTTTGCTTTCATACTCACTGTTCAGAAAATGATTCATTCAATAAACATTTATTAAGCATGATGTGACATGCACCAAACATTTTACAAGAAACAAGACACGACTGTTCAGACAACTCTTAATACAATGATCCATAAGAAACCAACATTGATTGCACTGTCCTTGAGAAGCAGTCTTTGAAGCAGGGGAGTGTAGGAACTTACATATGCACAGTTCATTTGCTTTTGTTACAGTTTTACATTTGTGTCTAATGAAACCATACTGGAATGAAGTATATTTCACTGTATTCAGTGCAGAGAGGGAAAGCAAAAGGACAAACAGGTGGGCTCCTTAGTGAACCCCTCAATCTATGGGTTCACCCACTCACTTGTCACCTCTGGCTTTCTGCAAGTGGGTTGAAGTTCATTCCATTTGCTATTGTATGCAAAAAAATTGTCTGCTTCCAAGCAGGATTTCGGTTTTGAAATATTTTGAAACCTGTCACATATAAAAGACCTAGAAAACATGGTTTACTGAAGCCACATTCACCATTCTGAAACACTCAGATGAGAGATGGAGATGACAGGTGGCCTTTCCAATGCAATGAGAGCATCTGTCTAGCAACCAGGACCATTGTCTCCTGTGATCCTAGAAGAAAGGTCCAAGAGTCAAAATAAAACTAGCTGAGTACCAGGCTTGAGAATTCCGAATCTAACACCGTAGAGGTGAAACTAGCTTTCAGCGTGCCCTGGAGGTGTGGCTGACTAATAGAAAGAAAGCCGAGAATTCAGCAGTTCCTCAAGGCCCTTTGTCCAGCATGTTCCCTAAACCAAGCTGCTCAGAAAGCAAATGTGTGCTCCAAAACCCAGCTGTCTTTTAAAAGCATGCTGTAATTTCTCCAGGAACAACACTGAACACCAACTAGCAACACAAAGGTGACTCCCTACCCCCAGCCCAAGCACATGTACTGTGACTCGCTAAAAATCAGAACAAATCAGGAAAGAATTTCAGGCCCAGAAAAGAGCCCCAACCTAAACTAAACAGAAGCTGCCAGAGCACTTAGCTACAGACCCCAGTCTCTGGAAAGTCACAGTGCACCCCCAACAATTGCTACTCAGAGACCTGTCATTTAAAAAGCAACCCAGACACAAATCCCAGGAGAAGCTTAAGTTAGGAAGGTCAAGTTGAGTGTGCTCTTAAAGGACCAGACTCCATTTTCTCTTCCCTAAAGGAAACACTCTTCCGTGTCCAGAATATCTGAGTTTATTCCAACAGCCTCGGCTAATTTTCTCAGCTAAAAATTGTTTGGTTTCTATGCAGCTGGACTACGGAAAGCATATGCACACTGGGAGTGTGTATATTTGGTTTTGTGCATGTGTGAATGCCTGCAAATATGGCCGCAGTTGTATATTCTCATGAGGGTGTTTCTAAGCAGTTTTATGGAAACAATTGGGGGTGAGAGGTGAGATTTTGCCTAAGGAAACCTCCTCCTCACAGTCAAGCTCCCAGACAGATTCAGCGGCTGGGTCACCGTCTGGGGTTGTTGGAGAGATTTGAGACATGTGATCAAAAGGCCCCTCCTCCTCCTCCTCGCCCACCTCCGGGTCTCCAGAGGACACCGCATTGGGGATCATGTGGACATAGGCAGCAGCGATCTCCCTGTGGAAGACAGTGTCCTGATTGTAGGAGATGAGTTCATTACTAATGTTCACAGTCTGCACAGGGGTCCGGAAGCAGAGGTGGCTGCATCCCAGCAGCTGGGCGAACACCTTCCGGAAGTCAGCGTTGAAGGCATAGATGATGGGGTTGAGAGATGAGTTGGCCCAGCCAAACCAGACGAATATGTCAAAGGTGGTCTCACTGACACAAGGAAAGCCAGTCCTTGGGCCCTGACCATCTCCAGTGCTGCAGAAAGGAACCATGCAGTTCAGGATAAAGAAAGGCAACCAGCAGCATACGAAGACCCCCATGATCATTGACAGTGTCTTGAAGACCTTGGTCTCCTTCTTGATGGATGCTCGCAGGCTGGGGTCAGGTTCACAGGCCCCGCGACTCCGGCAGCTCTGAGCATGCTCAGCTGCCCTCTCCAGAGAGGAGATCCGGCGGATCTGCACCTGTGCAATACGGTAAATGCGAGTGTAGGTCACGATCATGATGGCCACTGGGATGTAGAAACTGATGAGCGAGGAGGAGATGGCGTAAGTTCGGTTCAGGCTGGAGTCACAGTTCTCCGACCTCCCTTCTTGTTCCCAGCCTTCCTCCCAAGGCGTCCCATTAGACAGTAGGTCCTCTCGGCCCTGGGAGCCTGCCTTGTCTCTGTGCAAATTGAATTGGACCGGGATGAAGGAGATGAGGATGGACAAAGTCCAGGCCAGGCCCACCATGACCAGGGCTACACGCTGGGTCATCTTTCGCTCGTAGCGGAAGGGCCTGGAGATAGCCCAGTAGCGGTCTACACTGATAATACATAGATTCAGGATGGAGGCAGTGGAGCACATGATGTCAAAGGCCACCCAGACATTGCAGAACGCCCCAAAGGGCCAGTACCCAGCCACCTCAGCCACGGCTTTCCACGGCATGACAAGCAATGCGACGAAGAGGTCTGAGACCGCCAAGGATACGATGAAGATGTTGGTCATCTTGGCGCGCAGGTGGCGGCTGCGGACGATGGCAGCGCACACTAGCACATTGCCAAGCAAGGTCCAGACGATA